AGACAGGACAAATCTTTGCCATGCTGAGCATGTTTTAATAGTCATGGATAAAGGATCGTGGCTGCAATCTCCTGTGAGAATAAGAAAAAGGACTTAGTGGATCAGACTCTATTGGACTGTCTAGTTCAATATCCTGTGTCTGATCAGGGCTTGTAGCAGATGGCAGAGGCAAAACCACAAGGGCAGAGATAGGTACGAAGGACCCCCTTGCTTTTGACAGTCAGCAGTTAAGGGCTGCTCTTAGCCAAAGCTGGATTTGGGGCCATCCTGCTTCATAATCACTAATGCATCTGTCCTCCATGAATTTGTTTAATCCTCTTGGGAGCCTCTCTGTATCTAGCCTCCACGACATCATCTGACAGCGAATCTTTCTAATTTTGTATTGTGAGTGGAAAAAGTATTTTCTTTGCTTCCAGGGCTGCCTGCTTGTTTCGCAGGGAAGCCCTGACGTCTTAACCGCTCGTGCTCTCCACAGCATTTGTAAGTCCTGTTGCTGTCTAATCTATTTTTTTTTCTATCTATGATTTTTAAGATTTTAACTTGTTTCCTAAGATAGTTTTTCCCACGATAACATGCTCAATACACTGGAACCATTGCTGTTTACTTGCATGCCAGCTGAATGGCAGTCATTGTGCTGGGGTGTTCTGCGAAAGCACTTGAGGCAAGGATTTGCTCACAGAAACCTTTCATGAAGTTTAACCTTCCTTCTAGTTAAACGGAATCATTAACCTTTCAAGAAGGTCAAGCACACAGAAAAGGGAGGATTTTTGCTTCCTGATACATGTATGCAAATATACAGATTGCAAGGTGGGGCCTTTCTCCAGTGCTTTATGTCAAAGCAGTGTACATATTTTCTGGTTTAATCAGTGCTAAAGGGAAGCTTTTGGTGCAGAATGGCCTTTCATTTCCCTAATTTCATTGCCACATATGGCTACTTTGCAGAAAGGTCAAGAGGTCACACTGTCGAGTACAGCCATTGATCAGCAGTCAGGAGATTGGCCTTTTTTACTCATGAGTTTGCCTCTGACTAGTTGTCCCTTCAGGGGAAGGCTGCTTTTCCTTTCTGTGTCACTGGCTTCCCAATTCGGGAAACGAAAATTATAATGGTGCCCTATTGCGTACATAGCTTGAAGTCCTTTCTTGAAGTGCATACGTAGATATCTAGAATCATAGACTCATGGAATGGT